CTTACTACCATTAGAATCACAAAAACTAGCTCTACAACTTTAATTAAAGGCTTAAAAAACTTTGCTTAATAAAAAAAATAAACTTTATATTGTAGAAAAGGGTGATTTTTGTATTATTATATATATATATATCATTATATAAGAATTTATTATTAGCATTCTCATTTATTCGCAGACTATCAATTAATTATAAAAAAAAAGTCTACAAAAAAGGCCCTAAAAATTTTTAAAAATCATATATAAAATAAATCCAAATTTCACGATAATCCGATTTCACAATAATCTGTGATATTAATTATACATAATTTATATATTTTTTTAAAATTAAAGAAGTTTTTAATAAGATACTCTCTTTTAAGCTTCTAAGTAAAGTTGTAGAGAAGACTTTTCTGGTTCTAATGGTGTTTAGATTATCAAAATCGGCTTGGTGGATCCTAAGATATTTAGGATTAAAGACACGAATATAAGGATATACAAATTGGTGGTTACACGAAGTATTATAGTCTATAATACTATATTTATATCTTTAATTTCAGATATCTTGGAATCTACTAGTTCAATTTTGATGATTTAAATACCATTAGAATTAGAAAAGTAAGCTCTACAACTTTAATTAGAAGCCCAAGAAAGGTTATCTTATTAAAAACTTTTTTAAATCTTAATTTAAAAATTAAAGAACTTTTTAATAAGATAACCTCTCTTGGGCTTCTAAGTAAAGTTGTAGAGAAGATTTTTCTGGTTCTAATGATATTTAAATTATCAAAATCGACTTGGTGGATCCCAAGATATTTGGAATTAAAGATATAAATATAAAGATCTACAAATTGGTAGTTACATAAAGTATTATAGTCTATAATACTATAATACTATATTCATTTCTTTAATTTTAAATATCTTAAAATCTACTGATTCGATTTTAATAATTTAAATGCCATTAGAATTAGTAAAGTAAGCTCTACAACTTTAATTAGAAGCTCAAGAAAGGTTATTTTATTAAAAACTTTTTTAAATCTTAATTTAAAAATTAAAAAAATTTTAATAAAATAACCTCTCTTGGGCTTCTAAATAAAGTTGTAGAGAAGAATTTTCTGGTTTTAATAATTGTTAGTAAATCTTAAGATATTTAGATTTAAAAATACAAATTATTATAGTATTATACAGTATAGTAGTATTATATTTATATCTTTAATTTTAAATATCTTGGGATTTACTGGTTCAATTTTAATGATTTAAATATTATTAAAATCAGAAAAGTTAGCTCTACAACTTTAATTTAAATCTAAAAAGATTATCTTATTAAAACTTCTTTAAATTTTAATTATATAATATATATATTTTTTTAAAAATTTTATAATTTTTTCTATCTATAGAATCTGTATAATATGAAATCAAAATAACTTAAAATAATCTGATTTTTCATAAGTTAGAGTTAGGATGAGGTAAAAATAGTGTAAAGACAATAAAAAAAGTGTTAATAATAAAATTATATATATAATTTTTTTGTTAAAACACAAAAAATAGGTTTATAACAAAATTTTTAGATTACAGACAATTTTTTAAAAAAGATAATATTTGTTTTGATTTTATATTACACCTGATCTTGCATTCTAATTGGTCAATTAGAGGTAGCAATATATTACTATAGTGATAAAATATAATATCTTTTTTTAAAACTTTAAAAAGCTTATAAATTAAAAAATAAATAAAAAAATCAAATTTTAAAAAAATTTTAAAAAATTAAATTTTATCCCGGAGCAACGCCCGGGTTTACAGCTAGTTTTAATACTAAAAATTTTTATTTTTGCTTGATATAAAGGTATCTCAACAAAAGCAAACATCTCAATTATGAAGGTTGTTTTCTTTAACATTAGAATTAAAGTTAATTTCTTTTTTTTTTAATCTTCAAAGGTGAGACTATGCCTCTATCTTTATTAAAATCTAATTAAAAAAGAAATTACATTATTTGAACTTTATATCTATAAGATACTAAGACTAGAGACTTAGACAGAGCCTTTGCTAACTCAAGAATTATAGGAGTTATCTGCGACCTAAACATAGAGTTAAAATTAATTTGAGTTGAGGTCAAAGATATTTTTATAAGCAAAATTACCTTTTTGCAATTTTTTATTAATACATTAAGATAGGTTTAAACTATCATTTTTGTGCTTCTTTCTTTTTTTTTTGCTTGTTTTGCTTTGTTGAACTAATTCAAGTTTATCAAATTTTGATGATTCAATTAGCTAATTATTATATAATCTGCCTTGCTTTAAAAAACTTCTATTTTTAGTATTTAATATAAAAAATATAATAAATTAATATAAAAATTAATTTTTTTTAAAATTAAAGAAGTTTTTTTATCAAGTTAGGGTTTGTTGGATCTCTAAATAAAGTTGTAAAAAAGATTTTTCTGATTCTAATAGTAGTTAGATCATCAAAATTAGCCTTGTGGATCTCAAGATACTTAGAATTAAAGATACAAATATAAGAATTTAATATAAAAATCAATTTTTTAAAATTTAAAAAAAATTTTAATAAGTAAATCTCTCTTAAACTTCTAAATAAAATTGTAAAGAAGACTTTTCTAGTTTTAATAGTAGTTAGATCATTAAAATTGGCCTTGTGAATCCCAAAAACAGTGTTTATTTTTTACGTACGCAAAAATGTACACATATGTGCGAATCCAATCAAATTGCTTTATTTAAAATTTTAATTAGATCTGCACATGTGCGCACATTTTTGTGCATATAAAAAATAAACACTGCAAATATAAGGATCTGCAAATTAGTAGTTACACAAAATATTATAAACAATAATACTTTATATAACCACCAATTTGCAGATCCTTATATCCATGATCCACAAGGCCAATTTTAATGATCTAACCACCATTAGAACCAGACAAGTCTCTTCTACAACTTTACTTAGAAGCCCAAGAGAGATTTACTTATTAAAATTTTCTTTAAATTTTAAAAAATTGATTTTTGTATAACAGGTACCTTCATCTAACTTCAGCCAATTAGATTATATTTTTGTCTCATAGTGTTTGTCCCCGTGAATTATTTCATAGTGTTTATCTACCTCAATGCTCCTTATATAATAGATTGTCGCATAAATTAACCTGAATATTTTGTTATTTGTTGTTATTTGATATTATGTCATTTAAAAAATAAGTGTATGTTGTTGCGCCATGATCATATGTGTTTGTTTTTGTGTCAAGTCTGGGACCGTTGTTTCAGGTCCTAGGACCGGACCGGACCGGATTCGCAATTTAACATCCCTAATTTATCGTTATATGATTCATAAAAAATAATTCTTTGCTTACTGAGTAAATTAATACGTACATGTTTAGCATTAACAACATAAATTTATAAACTAATGATTAATCGAATAATTGATTGGTCGATTATTCGATTAGTTAAGCTTAGCCACCCCATACTAAAAAAATAGTTGGCCAACTAATCGATTGCATCTTTTTGATCCGATTTGAAACATTATGCATGAGGGCACAAGAGATGCGAAATCATTTGAATGTTGATTTACCGAATATTTGGGTTGATTAGATAAATGAATATCCGGAGTTCAGGAGTTGTATGAATATCCGGAGTTCAGGAGTTGTATGAATATCTGGAGTTCAGGAGTTGTATGAATCATAATCGTTGACCAACTTCAGGTCACGAGCACTGCGGTGTATATGCGCCAAATTATGTAGTTATACGTATGAATAGATTTATAATAGAATTTTAACACAATTACATAAAATTTTTTTTTTTTGTATTCCGCTCTGGATTGGCCTCTATTTCAATAATCAATTATTTTTATAATATATAGTTAACGTTAAATTTACAATATTTATAAGCCGGGTTAAGCTGATAAAACAGCTTATTCGTCGGAGAATTAGTTATTACGATAATGATTTAATCACAAATGTACGTAGCAATTTTTTTTTTTTTATTGAATGCTACGCACCTAATTAGTCAATTACTTTTAGTTGTTTTTGGCTAGCAAAGTAATGGCGCAAAAGTTTGACGAATCCGACTATGAACTTCCAAATCGAGTGAAAGAATCTTTCACACGATTTTTATCCAACAATATTAACGTTATTAAAGATATAATATAATAATTGGAGCATAGACGTTGTCACGCTAAACCAGGAATGAGATTCTTTATTTAGGATGAGTGAATGAATTTTACTTATAACTATAGTTGCAGACATTTAGGTAGTTATTTTTTTAAGTCACCCTTTACGTCATGTAAATTTATATATAATGTTAATACGTCATATCTAATACGTCATAATTAATACGTCATAACTAATACGTCATATCTAATACGTCATATCTTATACGTCATATCTAATACGTCATATCTAATATGTCACGTCAATACGTCATAGTATATGTTAATTGATATTCTAATGTCTGCAACTCTACTTATAACTAAAACACGATTTTCATTCAATGTGTCACGCAAATTTGAGTCTCGATTATTGCTATATGATGCAAATCACTGGTAATTTGAATGATAACGTACGTACGTACGTACGTACGTAACGATTTATTAGATTGAGATAATTGGTAATTAGTTACGTACTGTACATACATCCTATTCTTAGCTATTTCGATTTTTCGTGTTGGATAACGATAGGAGGAAAATAATTGTGTAACCTTTCTTTCAAGGGGTAACGGTAAACACCAATATTTTATAAGTTTAAATCTATTAACTCAAGTTCGATAACTAAATTAGGTAACATCGTTATGGAGAATAGCAGCAGTTAAGTATAATACGCGATGCGATGCCTTATCGAGTGAAGAATAAGAAAAATGTGATAACCATGATCATGCCGACCAATCAGGTATTAAGTTTTGAGATTGTATGCCCAGTAAACCATACACCTCGTGATTTCATCACTCCGTTCCTAGTGTATACAATTCCGGTTATAGTCCTCGGTTTAATAGAGCATTTCCAGTTTGATTTGTCTTTCTGTGCACGTTTTTGTCACGTACTGTACATACGTTTGTAATTTTGCGAGAAAAATACAATCTAAATTAGGGATTGGAACCAATCACCTAAGCTATCTTAATAGTCTGAATTTTAAATAAGAATTTTCCGTTACAGCAATCGAGAAATACATCTCAATTACACGTGCCAATTATCTAAGATTAAATTTTATCACTTTATTTATCAGGCGTTAGTGTTGCTTCTCGAAATCCGAGACTCATTATCATATAAATCTGAAACTGAAACACTATAGCTATCTGATACGAAAACTTGGCGTATTTCAAGAAATCATAATTTCATTGGTCGATAGATGTAAAAAATTCGATTGTTAATAATAATATATAGTTATATCAGATATATATATTAATAATTCAGGTCTATCACTAGATGTAAATCTTAGATATTTATCTTTTGATCAATTGACCATTTGCTAACCCTGATTGACAATATCATGGGCTAATTAGCCCATTTCCTCAAGACTGTCGATGACAAAATAAATACGTACGTACGTAAATACTCTAATTAGACATCAGATCGCATGCTCAGATCTACATGAACCTAGCCGTTAGATCGATGTGCACTTGCTGATCATAAATTGTCACATCGGAACCCCTTGAATGGGTCAATGGCGCAGTAATTAGCAAAGTAATTTGCGACAAAGGTACATCAATCAAATTTATCTGTTTCCTAACCTTTATGGTATTATAGAGGTCAGTCATGTCACGAAAAGTGTATGCTCCATGATCTCCAGACCATTCGGACTTAAAATTAGGCAGTACCCGGTACGAATAAAAACTTGATAAGCTGTAAATTTACTTAAAGATCACAGGATCAACACTTTCTTTTGTGATATGCAAAGCTTCGTATTTCGTATTTCGAAACATAAGCAGGAATCAATTAAACGCGTGCAAACTCGCATTATCGTTATAAATAAATAAATATCTAAAAATAATTCTGTTAATTAAAATAGATATATAGATATATTTTTACATTAATTTATGCACTGTGGCTAAGTATGAAATAGAATCAAAATGGGCAATCACTGTGGCTAATTACAGTGCCATTCGGATTTCTTTATGAGAATCCCTTATTAGGCTAAAAAGGGGCTGGAGTGCTATAGTAAAAAAAGAACTTGTTTGCTGTCAAAGGAAAGCCTGATTCAGAAAATCGAAATTTTACGTACTGGTACGCACGTACCTGCATTGTATTTGCCCAAAAATGACTAAAATACTGGTTAAATTACACAACCCATTTTATCGTAAGATAAAATCTTAAATAACTCAATATTGATTTTGACAAATATACGGATACTGATTTAAAGATATGTACGTAGGACACTGAGATATAACATATTTAATGTTTCCCGTAATATTCAAACTCTAATTATTTTATAAAATCGTACGGATATATCCGATTGATGCTAATCAGCTCAATCTGTTTGTAAATAAAAACCGGTTAATGAGTAGAATCGAACAGGCTGATTGTAAAGGCTGATTGACATTAAATCCAAATAAATCCGTTTTTTCTGCCTATCCATGTGAGATTATACTTGAACAGCCATATCGCTGATTAGACATATGCATCTCATAAAATCTCAGCGATAGGGCAGATTGCGATGATAATCGATGGGAAATTTTTTACCGTTACTAAATAGCGCAGTCACATGAATTTTCGGTATTATTCTTAATCAAAAATAGTTTTCTTCCTTGTGCCGTTCGATTTGTCTTTTTTTTTTTTTTCTTATCATTTTTTTTTCTTCATTGATCATTTTTTTACTCGTTGATATTTATTTACACGTTTATGTACTTTACTCGTCTATATACTTTATTTACTTGTAAATATAATTTTTTTTACTCGGTTTATTTATATATTTGCTATATTTTGTTTACGAGTAGACGTTTTTTAGACGCGTTTCTTACCAAAATCTTTGTCTAACGCGGTTAAACTTTAAGATAAGTGTTTCATTCTTTGCACACTTGTGTTCAGTTGCTGCACCTATTTAACCTTTTCATTTCTGAAGGGTTTCCTTCAAAGAGGTATTATCTGGTCTTATTTATCACAGTGCCAAGGGCGGGCTTGCCTATCGGCGCTATGGTAAGCTTTGTCTGCGGTATTTTGGTAAGTAAGATTTGCAGACACACTCCTCCTGGCGAGGTCCCTTGCCCTGGTTGGTGTAAGCGATAGGTTTTAATCCTCCCAGGGCCAAATCATTATGTTTCGTTTTTTACAAGCCAAGTTGTAAAAAACAATGAAACGTTTACACCCGCTCTGCTGAGATATTCTTTTTTTGAATATCGATGATGATAAACACCAGAGTTTTTAGTGAGTAAAAATCTCACACTGTCTAGGAGGCAACTCATAGTCACCTATTGAAGGTCTTCTCTGGTCTAACAAAAAAAAAAAAAAAAGTCATAACACTATAATTTAGTTAGAAACTTTCGATTCAAGTGACTATCCATGCAAATCGCTAATACAGTCATGATGTACAAGATAAACAAAATTCTTTAACATTTATATATATTGAATATATTTTGCGGTAATCTCAAAATGTTGCAAAATTCAATAAAAATTGTTTGATATACAAGAAAAAAATTTATGAGCGACTTCTAGGATAAAAAAATTCTGCGCGAATCTTTTGACAAAATCGTATTGAATGCATAGTATATGCAATATTTGCATGCGCTTTATACACCAAAGTTGATTGATTCTTATTGATATTCGGTTTATCCCGTCATGCCCTGTCTATTCTTTACCATCTTTGAGTCTATTGAATTCCGGCGTGTCACAAAAATTTTAATCCGAAATTACCGTTACGGCTATAACAAAGACAACCGAATCACATGACATCAATATTTACATGGAGTAACAGGCTTACACATCATTTGATCAATTTGCAAACATACGGGTACCTTTTAATGAAGTAATTACTAGCGTTAAAGCCTGTTCATACGTCATTCTATTTTGCATCTGAGATGAAACTTCTATGACACAAAGCACATCAGGCTTGACACGATCCTTATTTTAAATTTTAACTAAGTGTTGTATTTCTAGCAAGTTTAAATGACAGTGAATAAATAACAGTGAATAAATGCTTAAAATTATGATAATGCTTTAAAATATTATACAAGAGAAATAACAAAAATAAAATATATAGCATAAAATGTAATATATCTAGTTGAAATTAAGTTTAATTAAAAAAAAAAAAAAAGCGACTATGAAATCATGAAATTGTGGCTTCAAATGTTCGTAAATAAATGAATGAAATGACCATTTCAGAATATATATTGTCTAATGTCTTGGATTAAATACCAAATAATAAAAGTAAAGAAAACCACTATGGCCGAAAATTTCAAATTTTTACTCTTATTTATATTTGGTTCAGAAAATTCCTGTTTTTTTGTAAAAAAAAAAATACATGAATATTACTGAGATTTTCACGAGAAACACTTAATCTTTGTGAATATCTTCGATATTTTGGTAGGTTCTCAAATTACCTTTTTTGACTTTTTGTTGGATGGTGCCAATGAACACTGTTCAACTACTTCGCGCATAAAAGGTTTTATCAAAACTTTTAATGCGTCATCGTATGCAAACTAAAATTCATATGAGCTATTATATTAGTAATGTATCAAATAAAAATAATAAATGATTAAGACCAGTGTTTGAAATTAATGTTCTCAGAGTTCTCCGATTATAGATTTTGTGCACATTCTAAATTTTTACTGTTCACTATTAAAATTTTTTGAAACCAGTAAAATAATGTTCTCATAAGTATATAGTAAATGGCTGCATAACATTGTCACGCTAACCCAGAAGTTGACAAATATAACTAAATGATAATTCTGATACGAAGTAGTTGTATTAATTCATAATTACTTCGATCATTATATATCGATTCCGTGATCATAACTGTTTGAGAACACCAATTACTATTGTATTGTTCTCATGAGAACAGTTTTTGAGTCCGAAATTTCAAATACTGATTAAGACACAAACCCATTGTCTATCCCGTTCATCCATTTCTGGCCACCTTTCTTCCAATCGTTCAACTTCCATTTCAAAAAAACTAAATGTAGACTTAGGTAGCCCTGTTTTTTTGTTAACAACATTATGATCCCATACACCGATTAATGATGTTACTTTTCCTCGCGCACCAGCTGTCAAAAAAAAAAAATAATAATAATCGTTAATCGTGGAATATATATATATGTTATTATTGAAAAAATGACAAACCTTCTTCATATGTTTCTCTTATTGCCGCCTCTTGTTTCGATTCATCATTTTCCCATCCTCCTTTAGGCTTTAGTTTGAACGTATAAGAAATTCATTTGTGTATAATAATGATTAAAATATATGTTTGAAGTAAATTATTACCAGCATCCATCCACCTTTCTTCTTTCGTCGCGTTATTAGCAGAATTTTTTTCGTTGTCTTATTAACTGGTACACAACCAGCTACCTAAAAATCAAAAAAAAAAGAAAAAAATATTCAAATATTCAAATATTCAAAATATAATGTAGATCAATTATATTAATATAAATATATATCACAAATGACTTGATCTAGTAAAAAATCATTAAAAAAAAAAAGAGAGAGACAAACCTGACGTATGTTGCCTTTATACACTTGTTTTTCGCGTCCTGTTCTTGCTTTCATTAAATTCAAAGATTCTGTCATTGTAGAAGACTTATAAAAATGATAAAATATATCTATCATAAGTTGTATATAAAGAATTATTTATTAAATTTTTTTTTTTTGTTAGGGACAAATATTTTTTTTAATCGCCATGGTCGAATGGATTAGCTGTATATATGTAAAACTATGTTCTATTAATAGATTGATACGCACAAAATTCTAAATATTTATATAGTAAATTATTCTAACCAGTTTGAGCAATCTATTTGGTCGATGCCGGGAAGAAGATTTTTGAATAACCTAAATAAATTCCTTTATGCTGTGATTGTACCACTGTACTACATTAAGATAATTCACTCCATATTTGTAAATGTAAAATGTTACACCTACGAAATTATGTTTCATTTGTGCGAGACTCCTTGGCTTTTCCTTTATAGTAATTAAACTATTTTTCGTTTATTTGACGAAATAATCCAAGTCATTAATTTTTCTTAGAATCATGAATCTCTATTTATCAGATCTATCTTAGTATATTCTTTATTTAAAATATTTTTATGCTTATATTATACTTTTATTTGTCTTCAACGTTTTGATTTTATTAATCTAATAGTATCAAATTTTGGTGATTGAAATTTTTTGTTGAGTTTAATAATAATATCATAATGGCAACTGCTGTTGAACCAACAAAAAGTGAACTTTCAATCAAAGTTCCAACTATTTTAGCAACAAGACATTTTAATTCACACGTTGAAGAAACTGAGCCAGAGGTCGATGAATTTAGCGATGCCTTCGCTACTCCTAAAGATGAGAACGACCCCTATAATTATAATGACTACGCTCCAAATTTTAAAGCTCCTAATGAATTAGATAGTCAGAATTCGACCTCTTTTGAAGAAAGTGATAAAATTGATAGAGTTTCATCCTCTGCATCCTCAGTTTATGACGATGACTCGTTCAGTGAATCTGCCGATTTGACCGATCATACTGCTACTCTCGATGAAAAAGGTCACATTCCAAATGGTGAATCTTTTCAAGCTGGTTCTTCTGATAAGTCATTGGAAAAGGATGTAGAAAAAAATGTTCTTTTACCCACGTCCTCTGACATAGACAATTCGAATATAGATCAAATTAAATCTGTGAATGTCGTTGACGAACATTCTAATAAATCTGTAAATGCAACAGATAATCATGTAATTACTGAAGATTCAAAAGATAAGAATGATTCTACCGAATTACTTAAAGATGAGGCAATTCGAAATAGTAGTTATTCCTCAACTTCATCTGATGATGGGAGAAATGACTATGAATCAAGTGATTTCGCTGATTCAACTGCCTCAAAATCAAGCAGTTTTTCTTCAATTTCGTTTCAGCAACAAATTAATAAAAAGGATATTAAAAGCTATGAAATTATTGAAGATGATAATAAAGGTGATGAGAATCGTATGTCTATTGCTTCTCTGGGTGAACATCCCGAATTGAATGATATATCTCTGGAAGATGATTCCGTTAACTCTGAAGAACCATCAAAAGAATGGGGTTTTTCTGACTGGGGATTTCCGAAAACTCCCAATTCTATACGTGCCTTATCAACAATCTTCAGTGGTCGTTCTCCTACTCCTTCGGTGATTTCTAAAAATGATGAAAATCGTTTTTCTGTTGGTTCTGTGTCGTCGACCGGATCCAATTATGATCTTTTATTGGCGAGACTTGAAAAAGAAAATCAAATTTTACAAGAAGATCCAAAAGCAAGAAGAATGTCCCTTCAAGGAGTGGCTGAAATTAAGGCTAGTTTTGAACGTGTTCATAGCGAAGCAGTTGAAGCTAATGTTGAAGATGACATCGACTGGGGTAATTTTTTTTAATCCTTTATTTGTTTATTTGTTTTTTTGTTTTTATATAATTTTTTTCTTCTTTAATTAACTTTTACTTAACTCGTAGACTTTTGGGGTCAAATCGTTTCTGACTATGAGACGGTTGCCAGGTCGCAACCTAGTAAATTGTCAAAAATGATTCAAAAAGGAATTCCACAAGCATTACGTGGCATGATATGGCAACTCATGTCCAAATCTAAAGACACTGAATTGGAGTCCACTTACGCTCAACTATTAAAGGAAACAAGTCCTCATGAAAAAATGATTTTGAGAGATTTGAATCGTACTTTTCCTAAACATGAATATTTTCAAGATCAAGATGGAATAGGTCAAGAAGGCTTGTTCAACGTCGTAAAAGTGTATTCTCTTTATGACAAAGATGTTGGATATTGTCAAGGTATATCATTTATCGTTGGTCCTTTACTTTTGCAAAAGGTAAGTCATATACATATAGTTTTTTAATCTTATTTTAAGCGAACAAACAATTTTTTTCAAGTTTGATTAATTGAATAATTTATTTTTAATAGATGCCTGATGAAGAAGCATTTTGTGTTCTTGTCAAAATAATGAAATTTTATAATTTACGTGGTCACTTTTTACCTGGTATGGATGGTCTTCAATTAAGACTTTTCCAGTTTGACCATCTCGTTGAAGAAATGTTACCCAAACTTCATCAGCATCTCCGATCTCAAGGAATAAATTCATCAATGTATGCATCACAATGGTTTATGACACTTTTTGCATACAAATTCCCTCTATCATTGGTTTTCCGGATATATGATACTATTTTTATGGAAGGAATTGAATCTATCTTTCGATTTAGCATTGCTTTGCTAAAAAAAAATGAAAAGAAATTGATAGAAATGGATTTTGAACCTCTTTTAGAATATTTAAAGAGTGGTTTATTTGAAAGTTATCAGGTATAGATTGAGAAGAATTTTTCATTTTTTGAATCTAATAATAATTATAATTATTATATATTATTTAGGTCACAGCCACCGGTGTTCTTGCACAATTAGTTACAGATACTCAATACAAGACAAATGAATTTGTTAAAGATGCGTATAATGTTAAGATTACAACCAAGAAGCTTTCTAAATATCAACAGGCGTACTACGCACAACAAGAAGCTGAAAAACGACGATTAATGTCAGAAGCCGAAGCCATAGAGAAGATAAAGACAAATAATTATCACTTAACTAATCAGGTCAAGCATTTGGAGGGTAGTTTACAAACACTTAATCGTGAACATGTCGAATTGGCTAATGAACTTGTAAACACCAAAGTAGAGCTTGCCAAGGTTAAAGATGATAATGAGGAACTTCAGATGACAGCTGCAGACTTGCGTAAAACTTTAGTAGCCCAGCCAATTGAAATTGAAAACAAGTATAGAGGACAAATTGATTCGTTAGCACAAAAAAATATGGAATTAATAGATCGCAATAATTCTTTAGAGGATCAGCTTGCAGGTTTAGAAAAAATGTTAATTGAGATGAAAATGCGCTACGCAGAAAGTGAAAATGAAAGAGAACTACTGAAACGAAGGTTGAATGATCTAAAAAAAGCTTTGGGTTAGATAGCAACAAAAAATGATTGGTTTCTTTAAAATTTTATTTGAAATAGGTAAAAAGAAAAAAAAGTTATATTTATGATTTATATTACTAAGTTTTGGATATATGTGTATATAATATTTTCTTTCAGTTGTTTCAATTTGTTTTCTTTAGACAAAAATGGGTTTCATATTTAAATAGTCTTTTGTTCTTTTGATGAGTTTATCATTCATATTTTATTTATATAAACATAGATTTTAATATAATCAGTACTATAATGTTTTTTAAGTTTTTTTTTTTATTTGAATATGAGACGTGAATACTCTTATCCGAAGATTTGATATTAAACAATGCTCACGGTAGAACTTTGTACTTTACCATCAATAAGACTTGTATAATTGGTATATAATCTTCAAATAAAAACCTTTAACGTTAATATTAGCGTTGGTATCGATTGATTTGTCGATCCTTAAATCCTATTGGCTGTTTATACAGCATTTAACACTATATAAACAACTATACAGTAATTCTTAGAAATAATCCTCTACCCTAGTTCCCTAAATCTCAGATAAAACGGGAATAACCGTGGATAAAGATTTTAATGTTATTTCCGCTAATCTGAGATTTAAGTTTGAAGCTTATTTTCCGGGTTGTATAGTATAAAATTACACGAAATGTCCTTTTTCACTTCAATTTTGCGACTAAAATACGTAGATCAAAAGTATTTCGATATACAGTAGTAGGATAAAGTTTCTTAAAAGCTTAAAATTTTGTAAAGTTGCGTACTTTGTAAAAAAACCATCACACGTAAAAATTTGTTAAAATAAGTTTATTCAGAAATCAAAATAATAAAAAAGTTTGATGTAGACCAAATGAATGCTGTCAAATTATGTAAAAAATCTGTTTTCTCCGTATCGAACTAAACATAAATCAACATACAGTATAAAATTATATAAATTATTCATCATGTCTAATATAACTTGTATTTAAGAAAAAATTTATCTATCTATTTGTTACCCGATACTTACTTTTTAATTTAACATCACTTTAACTTTTTTTTGTTTTTACTGGAAATATTTTAAATTTTAAATATAAAATGTTAAAAAAAACTAGCTGGCTGGGTTCATAAAAAATTTTATCTTATTAAAATCAAATTATAAAAATCAAGTTATTAAATTTTTTTTTTTTTATAGTCAAGGCTGGCTTATTACTTTTATTAGATGCTTAAGGGTTACTGATGCCTTCAGGGGCCCGGACTTAGTACATTTTTTGACAAAGATACTGTAATGTAATGTTGTTAGACCCCTGGTTAACAAGTTACTTTACTTGACTAAGTGTTTGAGTAGTTAAGAAATGTGTTTATATAATTTTATAGAATAAAACAGTTTATAAATAAGATAAAATATTGTTGACTTATTGCTAATGTGATATTCACAAAAAAAGATTATAACTAACAATTTATAGACAAAAAGATAGATTTAGTAACTTAGATAATACTCAAAAGAATAATACAGATAAAAAAAATATAATTCAAGAAAAATAAATTAAATTTTAATAAAATATCATAAAAAGAGATTTATTTCTAACAAAAATTATACAATAATTATAGAAAAAAGAATTTATTCCTAATACAAATTAATAGCAAAACTAAATATAAAACCTATAAAATTATAGTGACCAAAATATAGAGACCAACTATCTCTTGCTTTAAGAAAAAGTAGGGAGATTAAATATTTTTTTATAAAATATTAAATTATTATAGAACATAGTAATTAATTAAAAAAAGGTATTTATAAAAAACTCTTTTCAATGATCCTCTGAACAACAATAACAAAAACTGAACTACAGAAAAATAATATAAAAATTTTTAAAATAGATACTTTTCAGTCCTACCTTAGAGTAAAGCAGTTGTTGACAAAGTCTGAAGATGCAAAACACCAAGAAGCAGACATTTTTTGAATAGTTTTTCTTAAGATCAAACCTTTCTGCTTTTGTGTAGACTCCTTAAATTATTCAGTATCCAAACCAGAAGGGTATTCTGGAAACTGTTTTTATCTTTATATAGATTGTTGTCAATGAAGTTCAAGAGATGTAATACACCAAAGAGCAGGCGTAACTTGGACGATTTTTCTTAGGGTTAAGTTTTTTTGCTAATTTGTCAAATAAACTTTCTAAGTTATTCAGCATCCAAACCAGAAGGTCTATTTTGAGAATAAGTAGTAGTCAAAAGACTCTCATTAAGATTGTTGAAGCTTGAAGAATTGCCTATACAACTGTAAAACTTACAAAAGAACTTTATATACTCTTATTGTCCCTTCACTTTTTTTGAGAAAAATTTTATAAAAAAGTGGGTGATTTAGTTTATCCTCTCCAAAAGATTGATATATTGTTTACTTACCAAATCAGTCACATTGTTTACTTTTTTATCTGTTACAATAAACACATAGACATATATAAAACTGGATATGTGGATTATGTGCCTTGAATGTGGCAATCTGGAAAACAATAACTTGAAACCTCCAGTACAAAGTTCTGACCTTTCTGACCTTTCTATAGTGCTGATATCAAAGAAGCTATTTTTTTTACCTTGTCACAGGGTTTTTTCTTATCTTAGATATGCTATATATATAAATTAGAGTAGAAACTAGTTTAAATAATAGTATGTAATTTTTATGGAGTCTAATACAGACTTATAATTGTGACTGTCTGGTGCAAATAAAAAATCTCATATTTAGTTTAGGTTTTTTTTTGTTTTTCTCTTTTCCCTTTCTTTTCTTGTTTGTATTTTTAACGTTATCCTCTATATCTCTGTATTATTTTAAAATTTTTTTCTTTTTCTTTCACTTCTCTATGAGAAGATGCCATCAGATTGATGGTATTCTATTGTAAGGTAGTGGTCAAATAAGCCCTCCAGTTAGGGTATTATCTTAATTAATCATATCTTGCCAGTGCAGTCAGGAAATATACCATATTTAGAAATCGGGTTCTAGAATGATCTGCAAAAATGTTCGCGCATTTGATTGGTCGTCACATTTCTTTTTTAGGCTTGTATTCAGATTAGGGGTTTTACAATATTTCATATATCTATTCGTTACTACAGTACTAAACGATATACAAATAGATAGTAAAAGTTA